TCAACATCCATCCATGTTGTAGCATGTATTAGTACTTTCTTCCTTTTTTTGGCTGAAAAATATTTCATTCTGAGGCTGTACCACATTTTATTTAATCATTCATCAGATGGACATTTGGGTTGTTTCCACTTTTTGGCTGCTGTGAGTAATGCTGTCCTGGACATCTGTGTGTAGGTTTTTGTGTGGACATGTGTTTTTATTTCTCTTGGGTGTATATACCTAGGAGTGGAATTGCTGGATCATAACTCTGTGTTGAACCAGTTGAGGAACTGCCAAACTGTTTTCCAGTATGACTGTACCATTTTACATTCACATCAGCAGTATTTGAGGATTCCGATTTATTTTTTTATTTTTATTTTTTGCGATATGTGGGCCTCTCACTGTCGTGGCCTCTCCTGTTGCCGGACGCGCAAGCTCAGCGGCCATGGCTCACGGGCCCAGCCGCTCCGCGGCATGTGGGATCCTCCCAGACCGGGGCACGAACCCGTATCCCCTGCATCGGCAGGCGGACTCTCAACCACTGCGCCACCAGGGAGGTCCTCCGATTTATTTTTATTCTCACCAGCACTTGTTATTGTCTGCCTTTTTGATTGTAGCCATCCTAGAGGGTATGAAGTGGGATCTCATTGTGGTTTAGAGCTGCATGTCCATAATGACGATGTTGAACATATTTTCATGTGCCTGTGACCATTTGTATATCTTACTTGGAGAAATGTCTATTCATATCCTTTGCCAATTTTTAATTGGGTTATTTGTCTTTTTTATTATTGAGTTGTAAAACTTCTTTATATATTCTAGATATAAGTACCTTATCAAATATGTAAACTACAAATATTTTCTCTTATTCTAGAGTTGTTTCTTCACTTTCTTCATGGCCTCTTTTGAAGGACAAATATTTTAATTTTCACCAAGTCTAATTTACCTATTCTTTTGTTATTTGTGCATTTAGTGTCATATCTTAGAAACCATTGCCTGATCCAAGGTCATGAAGATTTATACCTATGTTTTCCTCTAAGATCAATTTTTTAAAAATTTGTATTAATAAGGAGGGGTCAGGGAGATAATTTTTAAATTCCAAATTTAATTGGGGATGTTGACAGAAATTGAGGTAGATATAGAGAGAAAATGGGGTTGAAGTTAGAGATTTGGTTGCCTCTTATATAAAGGTGATGGTTGAAGCTATTAAAGTAGTGGATGAAATTACCAAAGGAGAAACTTGTAGAAGAGGTTGGGGGAGGCCACTGAGAGAAATTTGGTGAAACACACATTTGACAGTGGAACGAGAACAAATGGTTAGTGAAAAAGACCAAGTAGTCAGTGAGTTAGGGAGACCACAGTGGAACAGTGCTACAAAAGCCAAGGCAGAGAGAATTTTAGTATTGACTCCTGGGTGTTAAACACTCTGCAGTGAGGAAAATAAGACTGAGATAAAGCTGCTGGGTTTTATGGGATGCCATTGGTAACATTCAGAAACGTACTTTCAAGATAATCACTGGATTACCATAACCCGATTATTGTAAATTAAAGAGTGAGTGGGAAGTAATGAAGGCAGAAACAAGACTGTGAGGACATATCAAGGGTAGAATATTTTAAAAGTGTGTGATTCTGAAATATAAACATTGTTAATACAAATCTTTGTGCTTTTAAATATCAGAAATTGCATGTGTAGCTGACAACAGGTGCATAGGTAGCCAAATTAAAGGAAAAGAGGGGTTATTTTTGTTACCAAATCTGTACCTCTTTTTTTTTTTTTTTTTTTCCTCTTTTGAACGAGAATATAAGACTCTGAGAAAAAGGGGGTTTTTTTTTTTTACCAAATTTTGTCCTTTTTTTTTTTTTTTTTTTTTGCGGTACGCGGGCCTCTCGCCATTGTGGCCTCTCCCGCCGCGGAGCACAGGCTCCGGACGCGCAGACCCAGCAGCCATGGCTCATGGGCCCAGCCACTCCGCAGCATGTGGGATCCCCCCAGACCGGGGCACGAACCCGTGTCCCCCGCATCGGCAGGCAGACTCCCAACCACTGCACCACCAGGGAAGCCCTGTACCTCTTTTTTTTTATATGGATAGAGAAATTATTTTTAAACCACTTTTGAGGTATGATTGACATACAGAAAGCTGTACATATTTATTGTGTACAACTGGATGAGTTTGGAGATAAGTATACACTGATGAAACTATCACCACAGTCTGTATCCTAAACATATTCATTACCTCCAAAGGTGTCCCGCCCTCTTAATTTATTTTTAATAATTTTTTTGTGGCAAGAACACTTACATTAAGATCTCCCCTTTTAGCCAATTTTTAAGTGTACAGTACAGTATAATTAACTACAGGAACTATGCTATACGGTAGTTCTCTAGGACTTACTCATCTTATATAACTGAAACTTTGTATCCTTTGACTAATGCGTCCTCATATCCTCCTTAGATCAGCCCCTGGCACCCACCATTCTTTTCTGCTTCTAAGAGTCTGACTATTTTAGATTCCACTTATAAGTGATACCATGCAGTATTTGTCCTTCTGTGTTTGGCATATCTCACTTAGGGTAGTGTCCTCCAGGTTCATTCACATTGTTGCAAGTGGTGGGATTTCTTTCTTTTTTAAGGCAGAATAAAATTCCATTTGTATGTATATATCACATCTCGTTTATCCATTCATCTGTCGTTGAATATTTAAGTTGCTTTTGCCTCTTGGCTATTATGAGTAATGCTGCAAGGAACATGGGAATGCACATGTCTCTTTAAGATCCTGATTTCAGTTCCTTTGGATATATACACAGAACTGGGATTGCTGGATCATATTAGTATTTCTATTTTTAATTTCTTGAGGAACCTCCATAGTTTTTTATAGTGGCTGCACCAATTGAGAGTCCCATCAACACTGCAGAAGGGTTCCGTTTTCTCCACATCATCGTCAACACTTGTTATCACTTATCTTTTTGTTAATAGCCGTTCTGACAGGAATGAGGTAATATCTCATTGTGGTTTTTACTTACATTTCCCTGATGATTAGTGATGTTGAGCACCTTTTCATATACCTGTTGGCCATTTTTATATCTTCTTTGGAGAAATGCCTGTTCAGTCCCTTTGCCCATTTTTTAATCAGGTTTGTTTTTTGCTATTAAATTGTAGGAGTTCCTTGAATATTAACCTCTTATCAGATGTATGGTTTGCAAGTATTTTCTCATATTCTGTAGGTTGCCTTTTCATTTAGTTGTTAACTGTGCTGAAGCTTTTAGTTTGATGTAATCCTACTTGTCTGTTTTTACTTTTGTTGCCTGTGCTTTTGGTATCATGTCTAAGAAATGCATGCTGAGGCCAGTGTCTCGAAGCATTTTTTCCCATGTTTTCTTCCAGGAGTTTTATTGTTTCAGGTCTTACATTTAAGCCTTTAATCTAGTTTGAATTGATTTTTCTGTATGGTGTAAGATAGGGGTGCAGTTTCATTCTTTTGTATGTGGTAGTTTTCCCAACACTGTTTATTTAAGGGGCTATCCTTTTCCCATTGTGTATTTTTGGCTTCCTTGGCACCTCGGTCGACTGTATGTAAGTGGATTTATTTCTAGGCTTTCTGTTGTGTTCCATTGACCTGTATGTCTGTTATTTGTGCCATACTATTTTGATTACTGAAGCTCTGTAATATATTTTGAAACCAGGAAGTGTGATGCCTCCAGCATTGTTCTTCTTGCTTAAAACTGCTCTATTTGGAGTTTTTTGTGGTACCATATGAATTTTAGGATTCTTTTTTCCTGTTTCTGTGAAAAATGCCATCGGATTTTAATAGGGGTTGCCTTGAATCTGTAGATCACTTTAGGTAGGATGGACTTCTTAATGGTGAGGATTTGGCAGTTACTATCTGACCTTTTATTATCAAACTTAAAATGTCATTTCAGGTTTAATACATTTTTCCTGGTGATTTCTCTCTTATAATGACTTTTTTTATGACATGGTCCTTTCCCACTGAATATTAAAATGGCTATATCAGGGAGTGGGGAAAAGTTTCATAGTAAAAACTGGTGCTCTCAGGTGGTAAGGGAAGGGCAGCAGCTCATACCATATGGAGAAAAACAGTGAGGTAGATTTTATTCCTTAAGCATTCAGAAGTTATCCTAGTTACTATGGCCACCATATAACCACCAACTCTGTAAGCTTTATTTGTAATTGAAGCAAAATCAGAGTTAGCAAAGACAAGTAAGCAGGAAGAGATAAGGCAAGTTGCTTCCACCATAGTCGCAGATTGTTACAGAAGGCTTCATCTGCTCCACAGGACACCATTAGTTTCAAATAAAGGCGGAGGAATTTTGCAGCAAGGAATTCATTCCTTGAATGATAAAGTCACAAATAAGGGATGGCTACTAGTGGTGCGTTTTGAGCATTTATTAAGCTACAGTAGCTCACTTTCTAAGAAACCTGTGGAAGCGTTTAAATTGAGGTAATTTCTTAGCATATGTTATGAGGAAGTAGGGATGAAAATAAGCTGTAGATTTTTGATGAAAATTTCTTTGTGGAAGAACCCTGTTATTTACCTGCTATATGTTTAAAGATACGTGAAACTCATCAGACTAGGATTATAGAATGCTATGGGGGGAAATAATTTATCTTTAGCTAATAGTCTTTGTAATGATTTTAAGTAAGAATGGCATATGTGAAAACATTTAAAACTAACTACATGGTATTTCTATTTTGGGGGTTAAGCCCAAGTATTACTTGGGTACAGAATAAGTCCTTTGTTAATATATACATATAGTTTTTAGTTAGATAAAATGTACATAATATTTGTGAGATTTGTCAAGTATACTTACAGTATTAATAGGCCACATAATCACTTCAAAAAAAAAATGTGTAGGAAATAACTCCATTGCTGTTGAGACCATAATCTCTTTCTTTGGATAATATATCAAAACATTTAAATACTTATAAACTTTATAACCTATTAAAGGCCAAAGTAGCTAGTGATCCTGCCTGTGCTCTTTTTGAATCCTCTTTATTTAATCTTCCAAAGGCAATTGACATACATCCAAAAGAAGTGCCATAGTGAACCTGATGGACCTGGGGTAGCAGCGTTAACTAGTGAGGAGCGAACTCGATGGGCTAAGGTTATAATTTACATTTTTCTTTTCTTTTGAGGTATAATTAACTTACAACATTATATTCAACTGTACAACATAAGGATTCAATATTTGTATATATTGAGAGATAATCACCACAGTAAGTCTAGTTAGCGTCCATCACCATACAGAAAACTAAAAAAACTAAAAACTAAAAAATACTTTTTTTTTTTTTGTGGTACGCGGCCCTCTCACTCTTACTGTGGCCTCTCCCGTTGCGGAGCACAGGCTCCGGACGCGCAGGCTCAGCGGCCATGGCTCACGGGCCCAGCCGCTCTGCGGCATGTGGGATCTTCCCGGACCGCAGCACGAACCCGTGTCCCCTGCATTGGCAGGCGGACTCTCAACCACTGCGCCACCAGGGAAGCCCTAAAAAATACATTTTTTGTAATGAGAACTTTTAAGATATACTCTCTAGAAGCTTTCAAATATGCAATACAATATTATTAACTCTAATTTACACTTTAGGGGTGAAGGTATGCTATTTTTATTTTATTTACATTTAAATTTCAAACACTGAGCTCAAGTATATGCTGGCCCTTTGTTCAGATTTTTGAAGTAAAGATAAATGGACAGACAGCTTTAAGTTTTAAGCAGCATTAAATACATTGTACAATATTAAACTATTAGAGAAAATCTAGGGGGTGGCATAACTTCATACCTTTATACATTTAGTAGCACAAGTATAGGGACCAGCCATGCAGTGTGAGGAAGAACCTGTTCAGGAGTCAACAGAGAGGTTCTTGAATTCACACTTTTCTTGATAAACCTTTTTGGTAACTTTTTGAGAACCTATTAAGATTTTCTGGATATTTTGTATTTAATTTGTAACATTTTATTATTATCTCCTTGCCCTTTAGGCACGAGAATATTTGATTAGTCTTAATCCAGAGAACTTGGCTATGTTAGAAAAAATTCAGAGCAGTTTACTGGTATTTTGTTTAGATGACGGCAGTCCACATGTAACACCGGAAGATTATTCTCAGGTATTCAACTATCTTATTTTGTTATTTCTTCCCACAGATTTTTCTGGAGGACTCTTGTGTAAATTGAACATGAGGAGAATTTTGTTACATGCAGGCTTTTTTTTTTAAACCACTTTATTAAGGTATAATTGACATACAAAAAGCTGTACATATTTAATATATACAACTTACTGAGTTTGAAGTATACACCCATAAAACCACTGTGAAACATAATTGTGAAGACAGTTGTTTCCTGTATCTTGGAAACATCTTTTATCTTAGAATGGGGCAGCTAAGAAAAGAAAGTGCAAATACTAAGTCATAAAATATTTAATGCAGGCTCTTAAAACATTTTCTTAGCTACACACACACACACACACACACACACATACACATGTATCAAATGAATATTATACATAAATAATGCTCTGTAAATTCTTGCCACATTGTTTAGCTCCATTTAGACATCTTCTGTGTTGTTTAAAGAAGTATGTCTATTATTTGCTTATCAGATGTCAGTGGTTCCCAACCTTTTTATTGATTATATATACAGGAAATTTGCCTAAGACGCTGGGCTAAATGAGATTTCATACCAAAGGTGACATGGGAACCTACCTATAACCCACACCAGTGGGCCTTGATATCTTAGTTGGTGAGGTCTTTTCTAAGAATTATATCATTCTTGTGATTTATTTTATCATTTGGTTTTATAGAACACACTGACTTAAGTGAATTTAAGGGTAATTGTGGCCTACTTTTTTTTTCCTGGGATAATATCATTTCCTGGGAAAAAAATAAAAGGTAGTAGTCATATTTGTAGGAATCTCAGAGTCTTTTGAAAACACTGAAGTTACTTCATAATACATTCATCAGTATTAAATGATAGAAATAAAATAATACAGGATTGAAAAACCTTGTAGCTAGAAAACAAATTTTCCTCTTCCTTAGCTGCATTTGTTTTTAAGTAGAATCAACAAGCTTCTTGAGGAAGAATGTGTTTTAATGAAGTGTTGCTCAGACTTTTTTGCTGCAATCTGCAGTTAGGCATATTTAGATTGTAGCCCATTACACACACACACATGCGCACACGAGCGTGTGCACACTTACACATACATACATAATAGAAGTTTCACAGAACAGTAATAATTACTTTGACTATCTGCGATGTACTCTGATATTTATGTTCTATTTTATTCTTTCTTGTAAAGAATGTTTACTGTGGTTTCATGACTCACTTATGGCCCAAACTTACCATTTGAGAAACTGGCTTAGTAGGATATGAATTTTTGAAATATTTTTCTTGTAACTAGACTTTAATGACTAAACTTATCAATGCCTCTTATCCTATTCAAGTTGCAAAAGCCTTGTCCTTTCAATTGTATAGTCTCTAAACATTCATGAATGTTGTACCATCATTCTCTTTTCTGGTGGAATTTCTTGGATTTTGAGTACTATTTAAAGTCAAGGCCACAATTATTATCTCTTGAGTATAACTAATATTTTATTAAATTTGGTTTACCTGAAGAGGAAAAGTGAGATCATGTGTGTTTGTGTGTATTTAAGATATAAATACTTAAAAGCCAATATTAAAATCCTTTAAATTTGGAAATATTACATTTATTTTAGGTTGCTACAAAGGTTCTTACTGGAGATCCAACAATACGCTGGGGTGACAAATCTTATAACTTGATTTCCTTTTCTAATGGAGTATTTGGCTGTAATTGTGATGTAAGTAAACTACTGAAATTATTTGTTCCTTTTACTCTTTTAGGTTAATTTAATGGCAGTAATCTACAGTACTTACGCTGTCCTGTGGCAGAATAAGTAAACACTTATTTAGCTTTATGGCATTAGAGTAGAAGCTTTAGTTATGAATTCTCGGTAAAAATAGAGTATAGGACAAATTATTTTCATCTGTAGTCAGGATAACAGTGTGGTGTGTATCTGCAAAGTGGAATTTGCATGCATTTTTATGTAGTATAAGCTCTTTTAAAATCCACTGTTACCTGTTGTTGAAAATTACAACCTATTTTAAAAGATATAGCATTAGTATACGTTCTATGCACAGAGAAATGTATGTGGATATATTTCTACATTTACCTAGTAATTTTGTGACCTTGTTAAAAAAAATGACACATGATCTTTGGACCATTCTTTACTTTTAGATATTAAAATGTCTGGTACTGAATACCATTTTTTACCTTCATAAAACAAACACATGCACACACACACACACAACTTGTTTCTTTTCTGTTCTCCCATGGTTGTCTTTATTAGCTCTACTTTGTTATTTTCTGATGGACATTCAGGAGGTCTAATGAACCAAGAAAACTAAAAAATCAACCTAAGTCACAATTGCAATATATACTTATAACCTCATTATAATACTTTTCATAAAGTATATGATTTGGAATAAAGTAGTATGAGGTAGATTTTTTGTTTGTATTTGGGGGCTTTCCTCCGAAGTATTGATATTTAGTGACTGTAAGATACTAAAAAAAATCCTGTTACGTTGATCTGGGTTCAATAGTTGTATTAATCAGTATTTATTCAGTTTTAGGTGATCGAAACCTAAGTCAAATTGGCATTAGTTTACGAAGGTATTTATGGCATAGGGGTACAGCTAAATTTGGGTAATGCTGACTTCCAGTGTCCAGATGCTTTCATTAGAAATTTCTCTCTCCATTTTTTGGCATTACTTTCCTATGTTTGGCTTTATTTTTATGTAGACTACACCATGTGATGGTTGTACCTACAGTTGCATGTTTTCACAGCTTTCCTCGTAGATTAGTGTTCTCCGTGGAAATAGCCAGCTTTTTTTTTTTTTTTTTTAACCTGAGTGGTTCCAGCAGAAGACCTGGGAATAATGCTCATTTGTTGTATTGGCCTGTGTGAATTGTGCACATTCCAGGGAGTTAGCTGCTCTGATTCGCCTGGCCTGGGTCACATACCAAACCTTGGGACCTAGCTGGTAGAATCACTCATTCAAACCACCACGGAGATGTGTGCTGATTGCCTAAAGAAAAATAAAGTAGCTGTTACTGCCGAGGAAGGTGGTGTGGTTGATGTGCAGGTAATAGAATGTCTTCTGCAGTAAATCATCAGGGTGAAAGGTTGCCATGAGTCATTTTGAAGATTTGTTGTCTGTCCTCTTCCTTACGAGTCCAGTGTTGACAAAAGATTCTACTTGCTTCAGCTTTTTTCTCTTCAGCTCCTTGTTTGCTGCTTCTTGACCTCCTCAGTTTGGTTCATAGCCTCACTCTTCCTTGGAATCTGTCCTTTGTAAAGTAGCTAACTACCTTCTGGCTTCTTCCCTCCATATCTCGTTGACTTGTCAGCTGCAGTTGATTACCCTGTTCTTCATATGCATCTGACACTGCCTTCAACCTCCTAACAGTCTTTTTGGGTCTCCAGATTCTAAAACTGAGCTTAATATTATTCATAACCGTTTTCCCCTGTGTCTGCTCTTTTCTCTGGTTCAGTAGTTTCATTGACCATTTCTACATAGGTAGCTTGCAGTTATATTTTTCCAGTTTTTACCTATTCTCATCTTGAGAGTTTTGTTTCACCATATATTAAATTGTCCAAACTGGATGTTACATTGTTATGTAAGGGTTAGTTACTCTCATCATCAAGAACTCATCATCTTGCTTTCCTCCCTCACTCCCAACCTCCTAAAAAAACCACCTTGCACTACTTGGATTTTTACTGATGGCATCAACATCCTGCTGTTTGCTCAAATTCAGGAGAAAATAACTTTAATGATGTTTCTGTCTTTGAATAAAAATACTGGTCCCATAATGAGCATATATCTTTGCACAACTGAAATGCTTTCCTGTAGTAAAGTGTATGGACATGTTTCATGTGTATGCATTGTCACCCATATACTTATCAAATTGATCTGATGATCTCCACTTGACAGTATGCTTTTATTTTTTATTTATTTATTTTTTGCGGTACGCGGGCCTCTCACTGTTGTGGCCTCTCCCATTGTGGAGCGCAGGCTCAGCGGCCATGGCTCACGGGCCCAGCCGCTCTGCGGCATGTGGGATCTTCCCGGACCAGGGCACAAACCCGTGTCCCCTGCATCGGCAGGCGGACTGTCAACCACTGTGCCACCAGGGAAGCCCGACATTATGCTTTTAAAATTCCATGTAGGTTCCCCTTGGAACCTGCGATGATTACTGAAAATGCTATTTAACCAATGTAAAACATTATTACTAAAGTATATATACTGTAAAGTTAAGTTGTTCTTAATCCAAATTCGTATTGCTGCTCTCTTCCGTTGGTGCTTGAATATATACTTTTGTGATTATACTACATAATAGCATTTCCCTGTTGGGATTTAAAATCCTGGGGTCAACTATTTTGTCTTCCTTATATAGGCTTTGTTGTAGGCTTTTGTAGAAGTACATAGGAAGCATGTAATGAACATTAGTTGTTAATAACAGTAGTTACTAATTATTGCTGTGGGCCAGGAACTGTAGTAAGTATTTTATAAGCATTATTAAAATCATTTTTCACAGTTACTGTATGCAACTAGGTATAGTTTTCCCTACTAACAGATGAGGCAGTTTACTTAAAGAATTAAGTAACTTTCTCAAGTAACTTACTTGAGAAACTTATGTAGCTAGTAAGTAGTAATCTTTGGACTCAGAACCAAAGTCCACATTATTAAACAGTATATTACACATATTGCCTCCATATAAATGAAAAAAAAAGATAAAACTTATGTGAATAAATAAAGCACCAGGAAAGCGTTTGATTTTTTTCTGTTTTTCTGTTCTATTTTCTATTTCTATTTTTTTTCTATTTCCTAACTTTCCCGTTGCGGAGAACAGGCTCCGGACACGCAGGCTGAACGGCCATGGCTCACGGGCCCAGCCACTCTGCGGCACGTGGGATCTTCCCGGACCAGGGCACGAACCCGTGTCCCCTGCGTCGGCAGGCGGACTCTTAACCACTGCGCCACCAGGGAAGCCCTAACATTTTTTTTTTAAATTGATGATTAACTTTCTGCCAGGAGATGAATGGGTAAAATTATAAGTCAAAGAGATTTATATCTTTCAGTCATGCTCTTTCTTACTGGTTCCAGTATAATACTGTTGTCTTCAATGAAATAATATATGCAATATCTGTAAAAGTTCTTTGTAAAGCTACAAAGTACTACACAGTTGTGAGATGCTGTTAGAAAAGGGTCTTGTCCATGACCTTTGAGTCTTGTTATATGTGCTGTTGCTGGCAGACTGGATGAACTGCTCTTGCATCTTGTACTGACCTCCCTAGTAAGCCTTTCCTGGTGCTTTGGTGGCTGCTTACCTGCTAATGATATACCATGTTTCTAGGCTCCATGGGCCTAATACAGGGCAGCAAAGCTGTGTAATGTTAAGGCGATATTTAAGACACCTAATAACACCCTCTGAAACTGGGCCCAGGTGTGCTGAATTCATATCTTAAACCTCCCTTCTTTCTTTCCAAGGCTAGCGGTATCGCTTTCAGTTCATGAATGGTAATTGTGTGTAATGTAAACTGGTAGCCTTAACCCAGATGGGAAAAAACCGCATGTGATGTAATTGTCATCAAAGGAACATGAAGAAGATAAGGCAAAAAGTTTATCCTCCAGAATAAATGATGGGAAAATTCACTAGCCACAGTTCCTTTCTCTAAATACAGCTGTCAAAACTATGACACCCCTGTAACTCAGCACATCTTTCCCACATTCCTTAAACATTGAGAATTATTTCTGCCACATTGAACACTCTTATAGATATATACACAAAATCATTATGCTTTTAAATACTTATCTAGTGGACTGTGTGTTTACCAAAAGAATTTCATACCCATCCTCCATTTAGCCTTCAGATTTAGTCTGCCACCCCCATCTGCTTTTCCATAGTGCTTTTACAATTCCAGAACATTTTAGCGTTGTATATGTACATACGTATACCTCCTTTGACTTCCAATACAAATAGCAATTATTTTCTCTAGATTATTCATGTTTACATCCCTTCGCATTACCTCAAGAGCCCTAATTAAGTGCTTCTGACTTTAAATATTTGTTCTTTCTCAGAAAATAAAATACATCAGTTACTTACTATACTGTGGAATATCCATCTCTTTATCATTACAAGGTGAGGCATTTGAGAATTCTGCATTTTATTATGTGTTAAGAGTGGAGGGAAGGTGAAAATAAAATATTGGGTCGTTTTGTTTTTTGGTTTTTTTTTAATTAGTAGACTTTACTTTTTAGAGCAAGTTCCAGATGTACAGGAAAATTAAGCAGAAAGTACAGAATGCTCACTTGCTCTCTTTCCTGCACCCCGTTTTATATCTTGCATTGGTATATGTTGTTACATTTGATGAACCAATATTGATACATTATTATTAACTGAATTACATTGTTTCACTATTTATGTTGTACAACTTTATGGTTTTGCCAAATGCATAATGCCGTTCATTTCCCATTACACTATTTTTTTAACTCAACACAACCATCAGAGTGATCCTTTTAAATTGTAAGACAAATCATGTGAGTGCTCTGTTCATAACCCTTCAATGTCTTCCACTTTTATAAAGTAAAAATTGAAAGAGATACTTTATTTTTTTATTTTATTTTTTTAAACATCTAATATTTATTTTTTATTTTCTCTAATTTTTATTTATTTTTCCATTTTTTTAAATTAAAAAAATTTTTAAACATCTTTATTGGCGTATAATTGCTTTACAATGGTGTGTTAGTTTCTGCTTTATAACAGACTGAATCAGCTATACATAAACATATATCCCCATATCTCCTCCCTCTCACATCTCCCTCCCACCCTCCCTATCCCATCCCTCTAGGTGGTCACAAAGCACTGAGCTGATTTCCCTGTGCTATGCGGCTGCTTCCCACTAGCTATCTGTTTTACACCTGGTAGCGTATATATATGTCCATGCCACTCTCTCACTTCGTCCTTCGTCCCAGCTTACTGTTCCCCGTCCCGGTGTCCTCAGGTCCATTGTCTACATGTGTCTTTATTCCTGCCCTGCCCCTAGGTTCTTCAGAACCAATTTTTTTTTTTTAGATTTCTTATATATGTGTCAGCATACAGTATTTGTTTTTCTCTTTCTGACTTACTTCACTCTGTATGACAGACTCTAGGTCCATCCACCTCACTACAAATAACTCATTTTGTTTCTTTTTATGGCTGAGTAATATTCCATTGTATATATGTGCCACATCTTCTTTATCCATTCATCTGTCAATGGACACTTAGGTTGCTTCCATGTCCTGGCTATTGTAAATAGAGCTGCAATGAACATTGTGGTACGTGACTCTTTTTGAGTTATTGTTTTCTCAGGGTATATGCCCAGTAGTGGGATTGCTGGGTCGTATGGTAGTTCTATTTTTAGTTTTTTAAGGATGGGTCAAGTTTTAACTTATAAAACTTATTCATAATCTTGTATATTTTCCTTTTAGCATGCTCCTTATGATGCAATGGTTATCGTAAGCATCAGCTATTATGTTGATCAGAAAATTTTTGAGAGTGAAGGAAGATGGACGGTATGTTAGAACAAATATTTCATCCCTTTCTCCTCATAATTTTTTAAATAAATTCATTTATTTTTCGCTGCGTTGGGTCTTCGTTGCTGTGCGCGGGCTTTCTCTAGTTGCGGTGAGTAGGGGCTACTCTTTGTTGCAGTGCGTGGGCTTCTCATTGTGGTGGCTTCTCTTGTTGCAGTCGCACCTGCAACGCACGTCTAGGCGCACAGGCTTCAGTAGTTGTGGCTCACAGGTTCTAGAGCACAGGCTGAGTAGTTGTGGTGCACGGGCTTAGTTGCTTCGTGGCATGTGGGATCTTCCCAGACCAGGGCTTGAACCCGTGTCGCCTGCATTGGAAGGCGGATTCTTAACCACTGCGCTGCCAGGGAAGCCCTCCTCATGTTTTTATAGATATAATATTTTTAAGTTTTCCCTACTTTCAGGGTTCAGATAAAGTACGGGATATACCACTTCCAGAGGAGCTTGTTTTCACTGTGGATGAAAAAGTATTAAATGATATCAACCAAGCAAAAGCCCAATATTTCAAGCAGGTAGATTTTTCACTTTTCTCTTTGATAGTGCTACTTTATCTTATAACTACTATATATGAATATTTGGCTATCATCCAAGTATGACGGCATAAAACATTTAAAAATTACAACTTTGATACCTTTATTTATGTCTGATGATTATTTTAATGCAAATGATATTTTGGTTATCTTTGGGGTATTCTCCTTAGGTGTTTTTTCACTGTTCGTATTTAATTCTTTTTGTTAGGCATCTGATCTGCAGCTTTTGGTCTATGCCTTTACGTCTTTTGGCAAAAAGCTAACCAAGAAGAAGAAGCTTCACCCTGATACCTTTGTTCAGCTGGCACTTCAGCTGGCCTATTATAGACTTCATGGACGGTGAGGACCATTCATTTTCCACTTTCAGAGTCTTGAAGTCCAAGGCTATCTTTACTATAGCTATTCTGTCGTAACTCCCCAGTGTTTTTTCTTATGTTTTTCCCAGTTGGCACTGTGCCCTAATTTGTACTTTCATCAACAGTATTATTAGAGTTTCCATCTGTGACACTTTAACAGTCTTTCCTTGTTTTTCATTACCTTGATATTTTTGAAGTGCCTGCTGTCTTCTGAGAGAGATTTGTCATTCTTTAGAATTCAGATCACTTGGTTTTCTTGCAGCCTGTTTTCAAGTGGGTTCATGAAAAAGTATGGTTTTATAGATTAGACAGTCTTTACTCATTTTTAGGATAGGAGAGATGGTATGTTATGACTTTCTACATCCTAAGCAGAAGTGGAAGCTCCTTGATCTTCCTTTTTAAAATTTTACCTGAGAATATGTATCTTTAAATGGGGTGTTTAGATCATTTATATTTAATATAATTATCAATAAGGTTGGGTTTAAGTCTACAGTCGTGCTGTTTCTCTTTATCCCGTCTATTTTTTGTTTCTTCTTCGTTTTTTAATCGTCTCTTGAATTCCTAGGTTTTTTTAATTGTTCCTTTTATCTCCATTATCAGCTACACTGTTTTTTTTTCTATTGGTAGGGTTTTACAAAATACATCTTTTTTTTTTTTTTTTTGCGGTATGCGGGCCTCTCACTGCTGTGGCCTCTCCCGTTGCGGAGCACAGGCTCCGGACACGCAGGCTCAGCGGCCATGGCTCACGGGCCCAGCTGCTCCGCGGCATGTGGGGTCTTCCCGGACTGGGACATGAACCCGTGTCCCCTGCATCGGCAGGCGGATTCTCAACCACTGCACCACCAGGGAAGCCCAAAATACATCCTTAAACTTGCAATCTACCTTCAGATATTTTCCACTTAAAGTATAATGAAAGAACCTTAAAACAATGCTTCTATTATGCTTATCTCATTCTTTGTGCTGTTGTTGTCATACATTATACTTGTACATATGTTAACAACCTAATGATGCACTACTATTTTTGCCTTCAACAGTCAATTATCTTCTTTTATTGTGGTAAAATATAAATAAAATAAAACTTGCCATTTTAACAATTTTTAAGTATATGATCCAGTGGCATTAATTACATCGACTATGTTATGCAACCATCACCACTGTCTATTTCCAAACTTTTTTTTAACCACCCCAAACAGAAACTCTGTACTCATTAAGCAATAATTTCCTGTTCTCTCTTCTATCCCAACCCCTGGTAATCTCTAATCTACTTTCTGTCTATATGAATTTGCCTGTTCTGGATATTTCCTCTAAGTGGAATTATACATTATTTGTCCTTTTGTATCTGGCTTATTTCACTTAGGATAGTATTTTCAATGTTTGTTCTTTTATGGCTGAATAATATTCCATTGTATGAATATACCACATTTTGTTTATCCATTCATCTGTTGACAAATGCTTGGGTTGTTTCTGCCTTTTGGCTGTTGTGAATAACATTGCTGTGAACATTCATATACATGTATTGGTTTGAATCCCTGTTTTCAGTTCTTTTGAGTCAGTAACTAGGAGTGGAATTGCTGGGCTGTGTGGTAATTCTATGTTTAACTTTTTGTGGAACTGCCCAACTGTTTTCCACAGTGGATACCATTTTTACATTCCCATCAGCAATATACAAAGTAATGTATAATTGTTCCACATCCTTGCCAACACTTACTTTTCTGTTAAAAAAAAGAAGCCATCCAGAGTACCTGTGAAGTGGTATCTCATTGTGGTTTTTATTTGCATTTCCTTAATGACTAATGAGGTTGAATATCTTTGTGTGTTTATTGGCCATTTGTATATCTTCTTTGGCAAAATGTCTATTTAAATCCTTTGTGCATTTGGTAATTCGATTGTCATTTTGTTGTTGAATTTTAAGGGTTCTTTATGTATTGTAGATATGAAACCCTTATCAGATAGGTGTTTTGCAAATATTTTCTCTCATTCTGCAGGTTGTCTTTTCATTCTCTTGATAGTATGCTTTGATGCACAAAGTTTTAAATTTTGAAGTCCAATTTATCTGTTTATTTCATTTGTTGCCTGTGCTTTTGGTGTCATATCCAAGAAATCATTGCCAAATCCAGTATTACAAAACTTCCCCCATATGTTTTCTTCTAAGAGTTTTATAGTTTTAGCTCTTACTTTAGGTATTTGATCCATTTTGAGTTAATTTTTGTGTAGGGGCTATGGTAAGGATCAAAATTCACTCTTTTGCATATGGATATCCAGTTTTCTTAGCATTATTTGTGAAGAGACTGTCCTTTCTGTATTGAGTGGTCTTGACACTCTTGTCCAAAATCAATTGACCATAGATGTGAGGGTTTGTTTCTGGGTCAGCGTGGTGTTCAGTGTGTCTCTTCTTGTGTTCATATGACACTGTTTTGATTATTGTAGCTTTGCAGTAAGGTTTGAAATCTGGAACTAACGAGTACTTCACCTTTGTTCTTTTTTTTTAAAGATTTATTATTTATTTATTTATTTATTATTTTTGGCTGTGTCGGATCTTAGTTGTGGCATGCGGGACCTTCGTTGACGCATGCGGGATCTTTGAGGTGCATGGGCTCTTTGTTGTGGCGCGTGGGCTTCTCTCTAGTTGTGCCGTGTGGGTTTTCTCTTCTCTATTTGTGGCGTGCAGGCTCCAGGGCATGCGGGCTCTGTATTTTGCAGCATGCAGGCTCTCTAGTTGAGGTGCACGAACTCAGTAGTTGTGGCACACGGGCTTAGTTGCCCCAAGGCATGTGGGATCTTAGTTCCCTGACCAGGGATTGAACCTGCGTCCCCTGCATTGGAAGGCAGATTCTCTACCACTGGACCACCACGGAAGTCCCCTTCACCTTCGTTCTTGAAAAGAAGATTGTTCTGGTGACTCTGGGTTCCTTGAAATTCCATATGAATTTTAGGATGGGTTTTCCCATTTTTGTGAAAATGTCATTGGGATTTTGATAGAGATTGCGTTGCATCTGTAGATCTCTTTTAGTAGTATTGTCATCTTAACAATATTAAGTCTTCTAATCCATGAACATGGGGTCCCTTTGCATTTATTTATGTCTTTTAAAATTTCTTTCAATGTTTTGTAGTTTTTGGTGTACAGGTCTTTTTGGCTCCTTGGTTAAACTTAATCCTAAGTATTTCGTTCTTTTTGATGCTGCTGTAAATTGTTTTCTCGATTTTCTTTTCAGATTATTTATTGCTAGTGTATGGAAATGCAACTGATTTTTGCATGTTGACTTTATATCCTGAAACTGCTGAATTCATTTATTAGCTCTAACAGTTTTTTGTGTACTCTAGCGTTTTATGTATAAGACCACACATCTGTGAATAGAGATAGGTTGGATTTTGTCAAAGGCTTTTTCTATATCAATTGCGATGATCATACAGGTCTTTTTCTTCATTCTCTTAATGTAGTATATTACATTGATTTTCGTATGTTGAACCATCCTTGCATTCCTGGGATGAATCCCACTTGGTCATGGTGTATCATCCTTTTAATCTGCTGCTGAATTCAGTTTGCTAGTAATTTGTTGAGGATTTTTGCATCTATATTCATAATGGATATTGGTCTGTAGTGTCTTTTCTTACAGTGTCTTTTGTTGCAGTGTCTTTGCCTGGTTTTGGTATCAGGGTAATGCTGGCCTCATATTATGAGTAAGGAAATGGTCCCTCCTTGCCAGTGTTTTTGGAAGAGTTTGAGAAGGATTGGTGTTAATTCTTTAAGTATTAGAATTCATCAGTGAAGCCATCTGGTCCAGGACTTACCTTTGTTGGGGTTTCTGATTGCTCAATCATCTTGTTACTTGTTATACATCTAGTCAGTTTTCTATTTTTTCTTGAGTTAGATTTGATAGTTTGTGTGTTTCTCAGAATATGTCCATTTCATCTAGGCTATCCAGTTTATTGTATACTGTTCATAATATTCTCTTACAATCCTTTCTATTTCTGTAAAGTCAGTAGTAATGCCCTCTTTCTCACAGTTGATTGTAGTCATCAGAGTCTTCTCCCTTTTTTTCCGTAGTGTAGGTAAAAGCTTGTCAATTTTGTTGATCTTTGCAAAGAACCAACTTTTGGTTTAGTTAACTTTATTTTTCATTTCTGTATTTTGTTTATCTCTACTGTAATCTTAATTTCTTTTTTGCTGCTTTTGGGGCTAGTTTGCTTTTCTTTTTTTTAATTCTAAAGTGTGCAGTTAGTTTACTGATTTGAGATCTTTTTTAATGTAAGTATTTAGAGCCATAACTTTGCCTCTGAACACTGCTTTTGCTTCATTCTATAAATTGTGGTATGTTCTACTTTTCATTCATCACAAGGTGTTTTCTAATTTACCTTCTGATTTCTCTCTGAACAATTGGTCAAGAGTTTGTTGTTTTATTTCTACATATTTATGAATTTTTCAGTTTTTCTTTTTATTGCTTTTTAGCTTCATCCCATTGCCATTGAAGAAGATACTTTGTATGTATAAAGATTCCAGTCTTTATAAATTTTTTGAGACTTATTCTGTGGCCTAATATCTGGTCTATCCTGGAGAATGTTCTATGTGTACTTGAGAAGAATTTGTATTCTGCTGTTCCTTAGTGGCATATTCTGTATATGTCTTTTAGGTGTAGTTATTTATAGTGTTGTTCAAGTCTTCTCTTTCCTTGTTAGATCTTCTTTCTACATGTTTTATCCATTATTGAAAGTTGGGTGTTGAAGTCTGCAACTGTTGTTGTAGAGCTGTCTTGTTCTCTCTTCAGTTCCGTCAGTGTTTGTTTCATATATCTTATAGCTCTGCTCTTTGGTGCATATATTTTTATAATTGTTATATCTTGATGAATTAAACCTTTTATCAGTAAATAATGTCCTGTTTGTCTCATTCATCCTTTTTACTTAAAATATATTTTGTCTGATATATATACAGCCATTCCTAATGGAAAAAAAATTGTATAGCCACTCAAACTCTCTTTTGGTTACTATCTTTTTTCATCATTTTACTTTTAACCTCTTACTGTATTTGTTTCTAAACAGAATCTCTTGTGGACAGTATATAGATGATGCTTTTTGTTCATCTTGCCAATCTCTGCCTTTGATTGGAGAGTTACTGATAAGGAGGGAGAATTCTTCCATTTAGCTGTGTATTCTGTCGGTCTTATGTGTTTTTGTTCTTCAATTCCTCCATTACTTTATTTTTTGGTAGTAGTGATTTTGATTTTTTTTTGGAGTGTACCATTTTGATTTCCCTATTCTTTCTTTGTATTTTTTAAGCCATTTTCTTTATGGCTACCTTGGAAATTACATTTAACATCTTAAATTTATAACAACCTAGTTTGAATAACACCAGCTTACTTTTAATAGTATACAAACACTGTGCTTTTATCCATCTCTGTACTGCCCTCTTTATTTTATCACAGATTACATCTTTTTACATTGTGTGTCCATTAACATAAATTTATATTACTGTTTATGTATTTGCCCTTTAAGTAAAAAAAACTGTTAAACGTTGTTCTATCTAACATGTTTCCTATAAACTGGTAGTTAGATTTGGCAACTTGAGACTAGTAATCGATTATTTTTATTATTTTTTTATAACAGTAAATCAAATAGTTAATATTTGTTTCCTGTCGCATCCTGTTCAGATTGAGGGTGAGTTCAGTTGTTAGCCAACATCCATTATAAAGTTTCCTCCTTGATTTTTTTACCTAATGGTTTTAGTGGCCATTGATGATCATTACCAAGATCTATTATTTCATTACAGGTTGCAGAGTAGTGATATTTTGTCATTCATTCTTACTGCTTTTATCTTTGTTTTTTAACGAATGCTATTTTAGTGGTGGTTTAAATTTTTATTTATACTTTCTCCTTCACATTTTGCAAGGATACTATTTCAGCTCAGGGAGACAGTCTTATAGAAACACTGAACAGAGGAGGCTCAATAACTGTTTGCGGGAATTCCCTGGTGGTCCAGTGGTTAAGACACGGTGCTTTCACTGCCGTGGACCTGTGTTCAATCCCTGGTCAGGGAACTAAGATCCCACAAGCTGCGTGTCACGGCCAAAAAAAAAAAAAAAAAAACCGTTTGAGCCCTCTTAGTGCCCACGTTCAGACCTTTTACTCTTCCATTTGATTGCTTTAACTCTAAATTCCTATCACCAGGAAAGTAAGAGAGCTTTGTACCAAAAATTGTTGTATCATTCTTCACCCCAGGGAAACAGTCATTATTCTAGGGAACTTCTTAAATAATGCTTTTACTTAATTCTAGAGTTATTCATGTTCTGTAGGAGGAAACTAAAGGCCAAGGACTCTATTACCCCGTATCTTAGTACCTTAGAACAACAAACATTTATCATCTCACATTTTCTGTCTGTCAGGAGTCCAGGCACAGCTTAGCTAGGTGCCTCTGGCTTCAGGTCTCTTGTCAGGTTGTAGTCAGGGTGTCAGCCAGGACTGTGTCTTCATCTGAAGGCACCCCTTAAAGAGTATATCTGTGTACAGTCTCACTCTCATGGTTATTAGTAAGGTTCATTTCCTCCCAAACTGTTGTCCAGAGGCCTCTCTGTTTATTGGCACCTGGGCCTCTCTACAGGGCAACTCCCAGCATGGCAGCAGGCTTTCCTCAGAGTAAGGAGATGAGAGAGCTCTCTTTGTAACCTGATTTCAGAAGTGACATCTCATTACTTTTGTCATATTCCTTTCATTAGAAGGAAGACACTGAATCCATCCCACACGCAGCGTGAAGAGTAATACCAGGGCATCTGCAGGAGGCAGGGATCACTGGGGGCATCTCAGAGGCCACCTGCCACAGATGCCAATGTACACAACCTGACAGCAGCCAAGCCTTTGAACCATTTCCTGTTATACCAGGCCGCAGTACATTTTGCTCTTTGATGTTGAAAACAGCCTCTTTGTTATTGAAAATCTCAGTCGTAGTCTGTATTGTAGAACTTAGTCTCTGATCAAAGCCAGCTTTATTAGGTAAACTCTCTTTGTAATAACATTAGAGCACTTTCTTTCTCATGATACATTCTCTTATTTTCATTTTTTCTTGTAGCCCTGGTTGCTGCTATGAAACAGCTATGACAAGATACTTTTACCATGGCCGTACAGAGACCATGCGATCATGTACAGTAGAAGCAGTCAGATGGTGCCAATCCATGCAGGATCCTTCTACCAGTGTGAGTATTTGAAAAGAAAAAATCAACAGAATTTGTCTGTTCTAAAGGAAACTTGCTCTTAAATAACTAACTTCTTCAAATCCCTGGATCAGTAAAATATTTTCAGACTTTTTTTCCTGGAAACTTTCAAACATTTCTTCATTTGCCAGTGAAGTATATACTTGGAAAGAATAAGAAACACGGAAGACCTGATAAGAAGCCCATTTGTGTCATTTTCTAGGCAAAGTAACTTCAACACCTTGAGTATTTCACTACTGTTGATCTACCTTTAGATAACACCCATAAAATGTAGACTCTCCTTAAAGTGCCTTTAATAGAAAGCTTTTCTTGATGTGGTTGAACATTTTTGAAATCAGATTTTTTGTGTGTGTATTAGAACCAGTGCAGCTTTATATGTTTTGTTTTATACTTTAAGCATTTGCACAAAATGGTAGTTCCTTTCCGCCATTTTGGTATTGCATTTGTTTCTTTAGTTTTGATTGACATAGTTATGTATATGTTGACTTATTTTAATTTCATAGAGCTGCTTCATTATCATTTTTGTACAACTGTGCTTTAGTTTTGAAATCATAATTGCTTCTGTCTTTACACTTGTTGATATCACTTCTGTGCTGCCCACAAGTTTCTGTTTTCTTGTTCTGGGAAAGAAATAATCAAGTTGCAGGGCATATAGGAAAGAAAAGGCAGAGGAAGGGTGTAAGGGTAGGGGGGACGGATAGATTGGAAGTTTGGGATTGATGTATACACACTGCTATATTTAAAATAGATGACCAACAAGGACCTACTGTATAGCGCAGGGAACTCTGCTCAATATTCTATAATAACCTAAATGGGAAAAAAAATCTGAAAAAGGATGGATAAATGTATTTGTATAACTATATCACTTTGCTGTACACCTGAAACTAACACAACATCTTAATCAACTATACTCCAATATAAAATAAAAATTAAAAAAATAAAGGCAGTGGAAGAAGTGAGCAAAAAGACAGAAAAGTTATACATCTCAAAGTCTTTCTCAGAATCTTTTTTCTCTCCAAAATTACCCAAATTCTAATTACTTTTTTAAAAAATTAATGAAAGAATTTTTTGGCTGCGTTGGATCTTTGTTGCTGCGTGCGGGCTTTCTCTAGTTGCAGCAGGCGGGGGCTACTCTTTGTTGCGGTGTGTGGGCTTCTCATTGCGGTGGCTTCTCGTTGTGGAGCACGGGCTCTAGGCGTGTGGGCTTCAGTAGTTGTGGCTCGCGGGCTCTAGAGCGCAGGCTCAGTAGTTGTGGCGCACGGGGTTAGTTGCTCCACGGCATGTGGGATCTTCCCGGACCAGGGCTTGAACCCGTATCCCCTGCACTGACGGGCGGATTCTTAACCACTGTGCCCCAAGGGAAGTCCTGCCTAATTCTAATTACTTTGAGCTCAGGTTTTTTGTTTGGTTTCTGTACAGTTTGTTATTGAAGTATCTCTTGATTTTTAACACAGCTTTTTGAGCAGCAGCACAAGATGTTAGAAGCTTTTGCAAAACATAATAAAATGATGAAAGATTGTTCAACTGGAAAAGGTACTTACACTGTCTTTTTCCTGACTTAAAAAAAATTCTCTTGTGCTGAAAACATTTTTCTAACTTCAGGTTTGGGGTTTTATTGCAGGATTTGACCGTCATCTGTTAGGTCTCTCACTCATAGCAAAAGAGGAATGTCTCCCTGTTCCAGAACTCTTTACAGACCCACTTTTCTCCAGAAGGTAATATAATTTAGTGTTTTGTAACCTCATCAGTTTCTTTCTTCCTGAATGTTAAAAGCTTTTCAGAAACAATGTAAGCTTCTGTAAGCCTAGTAAAATATCCTTTCTTTGTGCCATACAGTGGAGGAGGTGGAAACTTCGTTCTCTCAACAAGTCTGATTGGTTATTTAAGAGTCCAGGGAGTGGTGGTTCCCATGGTACACAATGGCTATGGATTTTTCTATCATATCAGAGATGACAGGTGAGGCTGCTCTTTTTATTTATTTTTTATTTTAGTATATTTTATTTGCATCTATAATTTTTTTTAGAATAGTATTTATTTTATTGTTTTAACATCTTTATTATTCTTAACTGTGCTCACTTTTGTTGTTTTTGTCTTTCCTACACTATGATTCTGATGGTGTTGTCATCTGTCACTCGCTGCATGGGCAATTATTTTTTAACACTTAGGCGTTTAATGCGTATTTGTTCCTCTTTCCTGCTTTTGAGACATTTGTCAAATCAGTCCTTTAGGTGTTTTATGCAGAGCACTGTTTCACGTTGACTCAGTGATCACATCATCATCATCCTCCAAAATCAGTACACATATTACCATATTTGTTCTACCCAGGGTATTTGATGACAAGTTCAGATAAAATTTGATGGTCTGTAAATATTTGGTGGTTAGTGCGGTCATAGACAATACTAATGAGACCAAGACAAGAGACAAGGTAAATTAATTTGTGTTCAGAAAAGGATGTTTTACCAATTCAGATGCATTTCATTTTAGTTGTATGGGGTTTGACTTAAATTTGTGGAAAGAATGAGAAAGAAAATACTAAAACCTGGTAGGGTAAAGAGAGGTGGAGAACAAGGTAATAGCGAATTGACAGAAAGGCTTGGAAAGTCCCCTTTCACAGAGTCTGGTCGTCTCTTCACAGGGATCTGTGAGAGCTTGGGAATTTAGATAATGGGGCTACATATAGCACTGCATGAATAAGAAGAGAGCAGGCTTAGAGGCATTTCAGGTGGAATGTGAAAAATGGGAATAATAATATGTGTGACACCTTATCTTTGATAAAGGAGGCAAGAATATACAGTGGAGAAAAGACAGCCTCTTCAATAAGTGGTGCTGGGAAAACTGGACAGGTACATGTAAAAGTATGAAATTAGAACACTCCCTAACACCATACACAAAAATAAACTCAAAATGGATTAAAGCCCTAAATGTAAGGCCAGACACTATCAAACTCTTAGAGGAAAACACAGGCAGAACACTCTATGACATAAATCACAGCAAGATCCTTTTTGACCCACCTCCTAGAGAAATGGAAATAAAAACAAAAATAAACAAATGGGACCTAGTGAAACTTAAAAGCTTTTACACAGCAAAGGAAACAACAAGACGAAAAGATAACCCTCAGAATGGGAGAAAATACTTGCCAATGAAGCAGCTGACAAAGGATTAATCTCCAAAATTTACAAGCAGCTCATGCAGCTCAATATTTAAAAAACAAACAACCCAATCCAAAAATGGGCAGAAGACCTAAATAGACATTTCTCTAAAGAAGATATACAGATTTCCAACAAACACATGAAAGAATGCTCAACATCATTAATCATTAGAGAAACGCAAATCAAAACTACAGTGCGATATCATCTCACACCGGTCAGAATAGCCATCATCCAAAAATCTACAAACGAAATGCTGGAGAGGGTGTAGAGAAAAGGGAACACTCTTGCACTGCTGGTGGGAATGTGAATTGATACAGCCACTATGGAGAACAGTATGGAGGTTCCTTAAAAAACTAAAACCAGAACTACCATACGACCCAGCAATCCCACTACTGGGTATATACCCTGAGAAAACCATAATTCAAAAAGAGTCATGTACCAAAGTGTTCATTGCAGCTCTTTTTACAATAGTCAGGACATGGAAGCAACCTAAGTGTCCATTGACAGATGAATGGATAAAGAAGATGTGGTACATATATACAATGGAATATTACTCAGGCATAAAAAGAAACGAATTGAGTTATTTGTAGTGAGGTGGATGGACCTAGAGTCTGTCATACAGAGGGAAGTGAGTCAGAAGAGAAAAACAAATACCGTATGCTAACACACATATATGGAATCAAAAAAAAAAAATGGTCATGAAGAACCTAGGGGCAAGACGGGAATAAAGACACAGACCTACTAGAGGATGGACTTGAGGATATGGGGAGGGGGAAGGGTAAGCTGTGATAAAGTGAGAGAGTGGCATGGACATATATATACTACCAAACGTAAAATAGATAGCTAGCGGGAAGCAGCCGCATAGCACAGGGAGATCAGCTGAGTGCTTTGTGACCACCTAGAGGGGTGGGATAGGGAGGGTGGGAGGGAGGGAGACGCAAGAGAGAAGAGATATGGGGGCATATGTATATGTATAACTGATTCACTTTGTTATAAAGCAGAAACTAACACACCATTGTAAAGCAATTAATACTCCAATAAAGATGTTTAAAAAAAAAAATCGGATGTGGCCAGATGTGGCAAGGCCCCCAACGGTAACCAGAGCTCTCACCCTTGGTCCACTCTGAGGCTGCATTCAGTGTTTAAATGCAATGCTAGGAGACCAGTTCCAGTCTGCTGTACATGATGGAGCGATAAAGTTTTACTGAAGATTTTTTGGAGAAGGTGTGGAAGAAGAGTGACATTGCATACCACGTGGCAAACATCACAGCAGTTCCCTTTAAACATCTATGTTCCACTGGAATTTCCTCTCTAAATATCAGCCTCCTGGGACTTCCCTCGTCGTCCAGTGAGCAAGACTCCGTGCTGTGGTGCTTTAAGGACAAAGGATGACCCTGCCTGAAAACGTTTCAGTGTCACACCCCCTACTGGACTCTTAATCACCCTCCCCACCATGTTGCGATGGTTATGAAATTCCTGAGCCCACCTGGGCGATGGGACCTGTCCCAAATAAGGAAAGGCATCTGCCCTGTCCCACTCCCACTGTATAGAAGGAAGGTATATATGCCTCGACCAATCAGTAAATAAAATTTTCACCTTGGACCATTCCTTTGTTCTCTGGCTGTAAAAACTGACTAATAGCCCATGTTCAGAATAGGAAGTCAGCCCACTGTTCTGGCAGCGACCGTTCCCTCTAATAAATTCTGTCTTCTTTAAAAAAAAATATGTGACATAGTTCAGTTTCTAAGGTACTGTTTTTCTATTTTTCCTTTTTTAAAGAGTTTACATTCAGTGTTATTTTTTCAAAATTTTATCATCTGTCTCCATGTCAAGCGTGATTTGTGCATACCAGGGGTGCTTGTATTTGTTGGCATCCAAGTCTTAGATGATGTATTCCCATAGTATTCAGTTTCTGTACATTAATCTACAAATTGAAGGTTGAATGATAAAGGTTAAACATGGGTCTTATTAGGCATTTTTATCCTTTACCAGGTCCAAAATCATCATCATATACAGAGAATAACTAAGGATTCTAACATATTCTCTGACAAGTCGTGGATGTTACACTGCATGCAGTGATAAGAGTTTAAGCCAGATATGCCTCAGCTCTTGGATTTTTTGAAAAATGTATTTTTAATGATCCTGGGACAGTTTCCATTCACTTATTCAGGAAATATTTAATGAGAACTTAAAATGTGCCAAGGATTGTTTTAGGTGCTAAGGACACAAGACAGACAAAACCCCTCTGTTAAAGATAGTATTTTCTACTTGGGAAACAGGAACAAGAGCAGACAAATAAGCAGGATAACTGCAAATAGTGATGAAGGTTGTAGAGCAGATAATCAAATTATTGTGGTAATAGAGACAAACTGGTAGAGACAGAGCACTGCTTTATATAGTATGTGGTCAGGGAACGTGTCTGAGGGAGGGATAATGAAACTGAGATGTTAAGGATTGCGAAGGAATCCGTCATATGAATAGCCAGGCAAACAGCTCTCCAGAATCTGGTCCCTGCTTGCTCTCTCCAACTCTGCCACCCTGGCTGAGCCACCATCTTCTCCCACTTAGGTCACTGCAACAGGTTCTTTGCGGTCTTCTTGCCTCCACCTGTCCTTCCCTACAGACCATTCTCTACACAGCAGCCCTGACGGCCAAATGGAACTCAACTCGTATTGTTCTCCTACTCAGAAGCCTCTGAGGGCTTTTTCTTTCACTCACATAAGATCCAAAGTCCTCCTGAGAGACCCTACATGATCTAGGTCTCATCTGCCTCTCTGACCCTGTCTTCTACAAGGCTGCCACTGATTCCCTTGTACCTTGAACATGCCAGGCAAGCTCCCTCCTCAAGGCCTTCACGGTCATGATTTCCTCGGCTTAGTAGTCTCTCCCTGGAAATACGTGCAAGGATGACTCCCTTATTTCAGATAGATATTTGCTGTCATCTGAGAGGCCTTCTCTGACCATCTAAAATAGCATTTTTCCCCCTTCCCCACACACACCTGCTGCATTTTATCCACCGTGTGTGTGTGTGTGTGTGTGTGTGTGTGTGTGTGTGTGTATGTACTTATTTGCATGTTACCTATCTTTCCTTCCTAGAATACAATCCCACAAACATGGTCTTTGTTTTTGTATCCCCAGCTCTGTAACAATACCTCATAAATATGTTGCACTCAGTAAATGTTTCACAATGACTTTGTTGTTTAACATAAGCATACAGGTGTGAGGGTAGGGAAGAGCTTGGAATTTTAAGGGACAGAGGCACTATGGCTATACATTAACAATTGAGTGGGAGGGTGGT